TATGTTCATGACATTATCTTTCATTGTTGGATGTTCATGATCCATGTCTACTATTTATATTGAACTTGTCGGCCCTTAAAGATAATAAGGATGGTTAGATAAAATGTACGTTGGTGCTCGGCAAGTATGGCCCGGGTGCTAGTCATGACCTTCCAGTTGGGTCGTGACACTCATGCCTATTCACTCTTTCTATCACTGCAATGCTAGCTAGTGTGAGTGTCCTTTGAATCTCTAATCGGTACCTTAGTTCCAGTTCATCCTAAGTCATCCTCTGATAGCAGCACCTCGCATTTGTATGGTTAAATTGACCTTTTGATAATCCCCGTTAAAATTACTAATCCACCATTTTTAACAAAAATGTGGCACATACTGCTTTATAACCTCAGAGCTCATTACCTATGAAACTTATTGTACTTTCATACTTTAACTTATGTCCCTTAATAGTCTTCCATATTCACTCATATTGCTCTATTTGGTTTTGCACAAACAATTCACAGCATTCCACTTCTCGTTTCCTTCGAAGTAATTTCAACAAAACATCATTGATTCTCGACTTCATGTACTCAAACATGCCTCATTCTTTAGTTGTCTAATATTTCTTTATATAACTGATCATGTGCGAGTCAATGCACAAACCTAATCTGCAATAACCTACCACCACCCTGCAGTCCTCTGTAATCATCAACAGTCCTGGCCCTCTTAGTCCATCCCATAGCTTCATCAGAATCATCACTTGGAAATATAGGGACTTTCACTCTCTGAACTCCTTAAGTTGTGTATTTTCTGACCCTTCAAGCACTCTATTACTATTAGGGGCCCTCGAGTGACGCCAATCCTGAGAAGTTACCAATTGCGTCAATACCTGTACTACTTTTCTGACATGCCAATCAGACAAAGCCGGTGGTGGAACTCGCTGAGCTAATGATGCTGGAGCCTCCAACAGCTCCTCTAATAATAGTGGAATCGGGGCTATCTGCGGGAGTAACTCACCCTGTTCCTCATACGGTTGTGTCGCAATAGAGGGTGTACGTCTCATACACCCTCCCAATCTTTCCTGAACATCCAAACTAGTTGCCGCTCTTCTAGGCGATGACATCTTTGTAAAACCTACATCAACACATACGTTAGACGCGATTCACTACAAGAAAAACGGTCATTAGCGACAGGAAAAGTGGTCCCTAAAAGTGTGATTCTGGTCCTTTAAGGTCAATAACGACCTGTATAATCTGGTCACCACTCGTCGCTAAAGGCTCCGCCGCTAAAGGCCAATAACGACGAGTATGAGGAGTTGGTCCATAAAGAGTTTTAACGACCGGAAAAGTTCTCGTCTCTAAAACACTTTTAAGGACCACAAATCTGGTCCTCAAACACTTTTATTTTAGTCCCTAATTATAGACCAATTGTTGCCTACAATATTTGGTAACCAGTTCTACTGGTCCTTAAAGAGTTTTTTCCAGTCATAATTTTTTTATAAATTATATTATTTTTAATGTACAAAATCAATCTCACATAACAAAAATTTCAATAAAATCACGCTTTCATATACAAATATACAAATGTACATGTATAAAATTGGGTATGAATTACAAAAGTATATTACATCCCACTAGTAATTGTATAACCATGATGCATATGTCACGGTGCTGTTTACACAATCTTTTAGCAAAAATAACCTTTTTCCTAACTACCCTTGCAAGTGATAAAGAATACTGCATGAAATCTTCAAAACTTGCATCTTGACTTGTAAGTTCAACTCTTCAAACCCTGCAAAAAATAAAAAGATAACGACAATGAGAGGCACACCTAATATTGCATACTTTCCTCTCCTTAAAAGCATGTCATTTTCATACATATAGTCCAATTGCACTTTTTCAAATACAGATTAATGAAAAATAACATATCCATATTACGAAACACATTATCTGAGTAAAAATACTTTCATAAGTTTCAATAATATACATACCTTTAACCAATATGCAGTGAACCATATTTACTCCAGTGAGACAATTTGGAAGTAATTAAATGTAGTTTAGATCTTGAAAATCAATTTGTGCTCAACACATAAATTATAAGCCAGCATATACTGCATACAAAAGTTTACTAAAGCACAACCTCATGGCCAGTGATAGTGACTAAAAACACTCAAACAATTCGAGGAGGAAAGACTTCTTCATTTGCCGTTTCAAGAATATGAATAAAAGAAAGAGTAAAACCATTGTCAACCTTATAATCAATAATTTTGAGAGCTAGATATTGAGAAAATAAAATAATTATTGTATATAGATAACATCAATCATAACTAACAAACACCAATGGAAGATGTTCCTTAACAAGTAATTATTTGAAAAGATCAAAGTAGATGCTGAGAATTACAGTAAGAAACTTTTATTTACATGTCATACATATTGATATTCCTTCCAAAGCTTGACAAAAAAAAAAGACGTCATGAAAGTTCCGTTCACAACCTATCTCAGGGTCATAATAGATACCTTATCAAATTGGACGCAGGGGCTAGGCTAACTGTGTGAGATAATTATATGGGACTATTAGCTTTGACAAGGATGAATCATGAGAATCGAATTAACCAATAAATAAATTATACCCATAACAGAACTGCAACAAAATGATGAGAATAATTATTTTCCTCCAAAACAACCAACATATTCTCAAAACAATAAGAACAAACACAAATATTAAGATTGATGAAGCATTAGAGTTAAATTTCATAAATCAATCAACCATGAAAGGTATTTCCAAACAATTTTTATCGAATTAAATTTTGGTTTAACATTGTCTTCTAATTCAATTAAAATAAGCCAAGAGATATTGAGATAGACAAAATAAGATGTTTTTGAGCTAAGAGGATGACCTCATGTGTAATCTGATGTTGTAATCTTAAAGAAGGTTTTTCTTGCCGATATCAACTACTACATCTCATCTTTTACAAGTTCCAACAAATGACTACAGGTAAGCTTTATATAACCAACATGTGAAGAGGATTTCTGAATACTTCAAACCACAAGTTAAGAAAAAACATATTATAAATGCGCAGTATGTGAAGATTGCAACGTATTATAAATACCTAATAAAAAATGTAGTAGAATAAGCTATTGCTATGTTGAGTTTTTTATTCTCTCATCTCACTCTGTTTCATCTCCTTCTATCTTCTCTCTATCGGTTGGTTTCCATTACTGTTCTATCGAAATTTCCCTTATTAGTCTATTGTAATTTAGTTGAGTAATTTTAATATAATTAGCCAGTTCTATTATTAAGTGAGTTGTTAATTAGATTATTTTATAATCACTCTTATACCCTATTGTACATGTTTAAGACCTAGCTATTGTGAAAAATTCAACAATACTGAAGCACTGATAGCATAACCACAAAATATATGATCCATAGTTTCCCCACAAGGTCTAACACAACATCATTAGAAGACAACAAAATCCAAAGGATTTGATCTTATCATCTGTAGGCAGCTTTCTTTGTAACAAATTCCACTTTAGAGAGGACAATTTAAATAGATGAGGATTCATCAAAGGCATTCTATTCATAAGAGATGGATTTTGACGCAGTTTAATGAGGTTTCGTGCATTCAAGCAAATAATTTTTCTTATAAGCAGAGCCAATCCAAACAACCCAAATGAATTTTAATCCCACCTATCTTAACTGGAAAAAATCTAGGAATAGAGTGAGACAACAAGTGCCGCCACAACATTACATATCTACAGTTTCCTTTCCTTGCCTAACACAACACATCATATTTGGGTCAAAGATCTTCTTTTTCTTTTTGTTCTTCTTAACTCTGGAATAATAAAAAGACAAACTTTTGTGACTATATAACATCTAATTTAATCAACTTTTAGTATTTTTTTCTCATCTTTTGAGGATGCGCGTTCACAATCCCAAAAATACAAGTGTTTACAGTTCCATTCAAAGGGACATCTCAGTAGACAAAAACTTTTGTTACCTAAATTTCTTTCTCACGAACAAAACAATTAAAGGGAATATTTTTTATTCTCTCATCCTCCTTGCTCTACCCCAATACTTTAAACCTAACCCTAGCCACCATCCTCACATCTCAATACTCCCACTTTTAGCCCTACATCGCAACAATTAATATTCAACAGAATCCGTACAAAATATTATCATTTTCTACAATTAATATTCACTAAAACGAAATTTCTAGTGTTCAACCAAAAAGATAAGAAAAGTGACAAACCTGTTCAGATTAATAACTATTGTCATTGTCGGTTTGTGAATCTTCACCCAATTCAAATAGACATCATGTGAGTCTTCAGTCATTGAGAGATAAATTTGAAAAAGTTGATTGTTAAGGATTTCACATGCTTTCAGATTAAAAAACATAGAGAGAGGATAGGGTTTCGTTTTGGGGAAAATACGAGAGAGAGAGTGGGGGAGGGGCTGGTGGGGGGTTAATTAATATGCATATTCTTTTTTCATCTATGAATAGGAGTAATTTTTATATTGGGGCGGTGGCGCTTTTACTCCCCTCTTTACTCAGCCTATTAGGGACCGGCGATTTATCTTTTTAATTAATTTAGAAAATAAAAAGAGAATTAGGGACCACCCAAAAAACTTGTCCCTATAGGCACACTTTTAGGGACCAGAAGACCAGAATATCGCCCGCTGTGTTGGTCGCTAATAAACCTGTGTTGGTCGCTAATAAACCTTTTTCTTGTAGTCAATCCCAGCACTTTGGCATGATCTAGAACATGAAAGGAAGGTTACCATCCTAAATGCCCCGCAGCCTCGTGTTCATAAGTGTGGCGCGCAACACACCCATAAACAAGACTCTACTAGACACGGCTTGTAGACATCCCGAGGACAGACCTGCTCCAATATCATGTTTGTCACGACCCAAATTGGAGAGCCGCGACTGGCACACAGTGCCTTACTCAACCGAGTACTAATGTAACGTATCTTTCTAACATATCATCATCGGTAAATGGGCCAGAAGGGTCGTCATGAGATAACAGAATAAAACATAAGGAAATAATCGACATAGGATGACCCAACAAGATATACAAACTTATACATGTGCATACGGGCCTATAAGGCCGACATTACCATTTGCATACTAAAAACATATGCCGACAAGGACTTACCAGCATCCATATTCATGACATTTGTCTACAAGCCTCTAAGAGTACATAAACGTCATAAGGGTCGGGACAAGGACCTGCCATACCAATTAATACATGATCAAGGCATATTGACCAAATAGGCAACTCCGGAATATTTTGCAGTCGCATATGCGACCGCATAATGATTATGCAGTCCGCAAAATGACCGCAAAATTTGGGTGCCAAAACTGGAAAGGAACGGACCAGGTCTGCGGTCACTATGCGGCCCGCAAACTTATTCTGCGTTCGCATAATGTACCGAAGAACGGTTCTGCGGTCGCATAGTGCACCGCAGAACCTCCCTGCGAAAAATTCTAAAGCGGGATATGCGACAAGAGTGCGGCCCGTGAAATGGTTATGCGGTCACATAATGGACGCGAAATTAACATCAAAATGACCCAGAAAACTAACTCACTCTGCGACCATTCTGCGGTCCGCAGAGTGGTTTTGCAGTCGCAGAATAGGCCGCAGAAATGCTTACTTCTGCCCAACATTTTCTTCAACTCCCCAGCGCACTGTTCAATCCAAAAAGTCCGAACCTCTACGCCTGCCCCGATATCACAGAACCCTGGTTTTTAGGAAAATATTCACGGGGCCTTACAGTGTCCCTCAACATTGTGTGAGATGTTGACATCATTAGCTGCCATTTTTCGATTTCTTGGTAAGTAAAAAATCAAATAAGTTAGTAACAAAAGCAAGGATTAAAGAAACTACGCAATTGTCTAAGATCCACAGTGGGTGCCAAACTGTTTACTTGTAAAACACGCTACAGTTGAATTTGTTACGTGATTTATAAACAAGAGAACTGATTTGATCCAAAAATAATAAATAAATAATATTAAAAGTAAGTCTTGGCGATTAAAATAGAAGAAAATGACAATATTAAAAGTAAGTCTTGGCGATTAAAATAGAAGAAAATGACAAGCTTGGCTCCGAGAACAACGTCTCTAAGGACAAAAATGAGAACAATAGAGAAAGTTATTTAATTGAGAGTGAAAATGGAATACATCATATGTTTTGCCAAGAATTTTGTGTTTTACAATGGCTACTGAGCCTGCTATTTATAGCAATTGTAACGACCCGACCGATCGTTTTGAGCTCTAGCGCGTCGTTCAGTAGTTTGAGGCCATGAGCAGTTTCACTTCAGGTATTATGACTTGTACACATGGTCGGGATTGAATTTCAGGAAGTTCGGAGTTGAATTTCGAAAGCTTTAAGTTGGAAGAATTTACTAAGATTGTATTTTTGAGTAAACAGCCTAGGAATCAGGATTTGAAGGTTCCAACAGGTTCGTATGATGATTTTGGACTCGGACGTATGTTCGGATTTGGTTTTAGATGCCCCGGAAGCGTTTCGGCACCTATTGTGGAAGTTAGCATTTTGGAAGAATTTCATTAATTTGGGTTGAAGTGCATTTCAATGTTATCGATGTCTGTTTGGAATCCTAAGTCTGGGAATAGCTTCGTATGGTGATTTCGGTATTGGGAGCATGACCAAAAGTGGATTTGGAGGTCCGTAGGTCGTTTTGGGGTCATTTAGCGAAAGTTGGAAATTTGGACAATTTTGAGAAGTTTGACCGGGAGTGGACTTTTTGATATCGGGGTCGGATTCCAATTTTGGAAGTTAGAGTAGGTCCATAATGTCAATTATGACTTGTGTGCAAAATTTGAGTTCAATCAGATGTGATTTGATAGGTTTCGGCATCGGATGTAGAAGTTGAAGTTCTAGAGTTCATAAAGCTTGAATTGAGTTGCGATTCATGAAGTTGATGTTGTTTGATGTGATTTGAAGGCTCGACTAAATTCGTAATATGTTTTGGGATGTGTTGGTATAATTGGTTGAGGTCCCGAGGGCCTCGGGTAGATTCCGGATGGTTAACGGATCGAGTTTGGACTTGGAAGAAAAGATGAGGCAGTTGATATCTGGTGTGATCACACCTGCGCAATAAGGGCCACATGTGCGAGGTCTCAGGTGCGAGCCAGTGGTCGCAGGTGCGATTTGGGCGAAGCTGGGTAATAATCGCTGGTGCGAAGGGTTGTCCGCACCTGCGAGGTCACAGATGCGGAGGTGCGTCGTAGGTGCGAGAGTGAGAGAAGAGTCCAGGAACGCAGGTGCGAGGGTATGTCCGCACCCGCGAAGGCGCAGATGCGGAAGGGAAGGTGCAGATGCGGAGTCGTGCTAGGCAGAGGGAATGCGCAGGTGCGAGGTTTTGGCCGCACCTCCGAAGCCGCAGGTGCGGCTACTGTTCCGCAGGTGCGAAAATGTCGCTGGGCAGAAGGGTTTTTATAAACGGGACTTGGCCCATTTTCTCCCATTTTCATTTGGTTTGGACGATTTTGGAGAGTTTCAAGGGNAATGTCGCTGGGCAGAAGGGTTTTTATAAACGGGACTTGGCCCATTTTCTCCCATTTTCATTTGGTTTGGACGATTTTGGAGCGCTTCAATGGGAGTTTTTCATCAAGCAATTCTAGGTAACTGGTTTCTTCCCATTGTGAGCTAAATACATGAATTATGCATGGATTAGAACATGGAAATTAGTATAAATTGTGGGGGTTTTGGTAGAAGACCTAGAATTGGGTATTTTGGATTTTGACCACTAGATTGGGCATGGAATTGAGAATAAACTATATATTTGAGTTCGTGAGGTTATGAGTAAAGTTATCTTCGAAAATTTTTGGAATCCGGGCACGTGGGCCCGAGGGTGATTTTTATCGACTTTTCGATCGGGGTTAGAAATTTGCTATAAATTAGATTATAATGAGTATTCGAGTGTATATTAATGGGTTTACATAATTATTGGCTAGTTTTGGAGCGTTGTGCATCGATTCAAGTTGTTTGAAGGGCTCGAAAGCCGGTTATTGAACTACGGAGCGTGGTAAGTCTCCTTTCTTACCTTGCAAGGGGGAATTAATCCCATAGGTGAACTAAATTATTGTGTGCTTCTATTTGTGGGGGCTACGTACGCACGAGGTGACGAGGGTCCGTACGTAGCTACTAGCTATGCCTACGTCCGGGTAGTTTTAGGCTCACATCATGCCTTGTTGATAATGTTATTGGTTTATGTTTGTTGTTTGCCTTGAGAGGGAGCGAGATTGAGTCTGCTTATTAAATGTTTTGAAAGGAGTTGAAATTAAAGAACTTAAGATTTAAAAGGTTTCATTTGAACTTCGTAATTTCGAAAAGAATTGAGGAATAATATAATAGCTGAAGAAATCTATGTGTAACCGCGTCGCATGTATGTTTCGCGAGAGGGGTAATTTCCTTAAAAAAAAGCTACAAGCTGAATTTCCCTTATTTTGAAAAGAATCAAGAAAGAGATATGATTTTAATGTTAAATTTATATTTGACCGCGTCGCAAGTATGATCCGCGAGCGGGGTGATTCCTTAAATTTATGTTTGACCGCGTCACACGTATGATTCGCGAGCGGTGTATTTCCTACTACTCTCATGGGAGCGGGCCGTTCTCCTCGGCAGATTAAATAGATGCATCTATGATTCGCGCCATTCGACCCTCTGGCAGTGCACAGTTTAAATATTTATTGGATCGGGTCGTACGACCTCGGCATGATTTGTGCATGCTTGTATTGCTTGCCTTGAAATTTATAAATAATGATATTGCCTCCCTGGTCTGAGATAAATTGATAAATGATGAAATGTAAATTCGGAACCCTCTTATTAACAAAGGAATTGTTTCCTTGATTCATGATTTTCTTGAGTTTACTGCCGTTTTTAATAAATCCACGACTAATTATATTATTGATGGCCACAGTAAGTGTCGAAGTCGACCCCTCGTCACTACTTCTTCGAGGTTAGGCGGGATACTTACTGGGTACGCGTTGATTTACGTACTCATACTATATTTGCTGCACGTTTTGTGCAGGTACATATATGACTAGTGGCCTTGTGGGCGCAGAGGCGCTGTTATTACGGTGACTTAGGTGAGCTGCATATTATGTACGACCCGCAGCCAACAGAGTCTCCTTTAGAGTATTGTATTTTCTTTCCTGTCCAAATTCTATTCCGGACAGTTATTGTATTTTATTTTAAATTCCTAGAAAATGCTCATGCACTTGTGACACCGGGTTCGGGGATGATTATGGGATGTTCAGTATTGAAATTGGAAAACATTGTTATTATTATGTAAATTCATCTTTTACTAGAAAAATTGAAGTAAATTTACGATTTCAAAAATATTAAAATGAGAATTTAATTAACTATTTAGTGTTTGCTTGCCTGACAGTGGTGTCCGGCGCCATCACGACCTTTAACGGATTTTGGGTCGTGACAACATGGTATCAAAGCACTAGATT